CGCTGCGGGAGCCGATGAGGTTTGTGTCCGCGAACCCGTTGGTGGCTTCCAATAGCTGTTGGTAGGATAGACGCAGGTAGTCGCTGCTGTGTATGCAAAAATATTTATGCGCAGTTCATAATTTTCGAAAAAAAAAAAACTAGTAAATAAAAATTAGATATTATAATATATTTTGTTTTAGGAATGAGACTAGTTTTAATTACTATATATATATATATGTCTAAATTTTCTATATTATCTTTAAACAAAAGATAAGCATAATTAAAATATTTGACATACCATGATATAAAAATAATAAAAATATGCACAAAAAAAAATTACATTTATAGAAGTTGTCACCATACTATTTCGTGTAGTAAAATTAATTTTATTATGATGCCAGAGTAATGTTCTGATTTACAATCTAATTATTTTCTTAGGAAAATATTACATTGGAACATTTTATAAAATAAAAATAAAAAATTTAATATCAAAATATAATCTCATTAAAAATAACAAAAATTATAATTTCTGCATTGGCTCAAGAAAAATAAAAAAAAGTTAATGGTAAGTTCCTTACTGATTGGAAATGAAGTCTTCCATGCTGTCCATATCTTCCTTTGGGCTACTTGATCTCCTCCTCATCATTTGACATGCAATAAAAAACGAAGTCAAAAGAACAATTGCAGTCCCAGAAATAGATAGCGATATTCGAATTAGCCTTCCAAGTCGATGATCTGTCTCTGTTCTGCATTCTGTTATTCCATCAATATTGTAACCACAGAGCCCCGGGTTGCCGAAGAAGGAACTTCCACTGAGCGATCTGAACACTCCATCACCAGGAATAATGCCGGAGAAGTTGTTGAAGGAAACGTTGAGGTATCGAAGAGTAGAAGAAGCTTTTAAAGACTCTGGCATGGCGCCCACAAGCTTATTTGATGACAAGTCCAGCACTTTCAGGTTAGGCAAAGCTCCTATAGAACTCGGAAAATGACCGCCAAAGCTGTTTTTGGATAGATTGAGGTATTCCAACGCCACGCAGCTTCCAATCTGTGAAGGTATCATGCCTGATAAATTGTTGCAGGACAGATCCAAAGCTAGAATCATGTCCATCTTGCTCATCTCCAATGGCAAATGGCCGTGCAAATTGTTGTTCGATAGGTTTAGATATAGCTTCAAGCTCTGTAAACCAGCAATTTCGGGAGGAATTTCACCGGTTAGTTGGTTGTAAGACAGGTCGAGTATATCTAGATTGATGCAATTGCCGAGGCTTGGGGGAATTTGGCCGGAGAGCCGGTTGCCGTTGAGAAGTAGTCGCCGGAATTGTGGGAGATGGGCGAATGCATCTGGTATGGAGCCAGAGAGTTCGTTGCCCGATACATCTAAGAGGCCAAGCCGAAGAATTTTGCCGAATGATGGGGGGATTTTGCCTGTTAGTCTATTGTTTGAAAGGTAGAATCTTTCCAGCCTACAGAGGCGGCCGATTTCTGGCGAGATTGATCCGTTGAATTCGTTATTGGATAGGTCTAAATATGTGAGGTTAACGAGTTTTGATATGTTAGGATGGATTGGTCCGGTGATTTGATTCCCCTCGAGGTAGAGCTGTGAGAGGCTGACGGAGAGGTCACCGATTGAGGGTGGAAGCTCACCGCGGAAAACGTTTCCGTCGAGCCCCAGCTCTTGTAAACCGGAGCAGTTGCTCAAAGAAGTGAAGAAGGGGTTGAGATCATCAGTTGAAAGGTTGTTGAATGAGAGGGAAAGAAACTGCAGATAAGGCATATTGTTAAAGATGTTCAGCGGCAAGCCGCCGTTGAGATTATTGGACTCGAGGTAGATCCATTCCAGTTGAGAGGAGTTGGAAAGCGTTGGTGGGATCGAACCAGAAAGCTGGTTGTACGATAAGAGGAGGTAACGGAGGTCGTGGAGCAGGCAAAGGCTGTTGCTTGGAAGCGGAATCTCGCCGGTGAGGAAGTTGTTTGAAAGATCAATGGTTTGTAAAGAGAGTTGGTTTGTAGCTGATCTGGAGTAGTTGCAGAAGAGAGTTGATGGTACTTCTCCTGTTAACTGGTTGCTACCGAGGCTAAGAAAAACTAACGAGTTTAAAAAACCGAGCTGGAATGGTATGGTGCCGGAGAAGAGGTTGGAGTAGAGGCTGAGCTGTTTGAGGCCGGAGAGGGAGCCGAGTTCAGGGGGAATTGGGCCCGTGAGAAAATTATTGGAGAGATCGAGTTCTTCGAGGGAGGAGAGATTGGAGAGAAAAGGGGAGATTTTGCCATGGAGGTTTCGACCGCTGAGATCGAGCTCAGCGACACGTTGTGAAGGCGGCAAGTGATGGCAAGAGACGCCGGTCCAGTTGCAGACGTTAGGAGAAGTTTTCCAATTGGTGAGGGAGAGGGCGCTGTGGGGAGTGAGGCCGGCAAGGAAAGAGAGAAGGGAGGAGCGGTCGTCACCAGCCGAGTGGTGGATGGTTGTTAGGAGAAGGAATGTGATGAGATGAGCAGCCATGGTGATAAGGGAGGAATGGATGAGAGGAGGAATAGATTGGTTTAAGAGGAGAGCAGGGGAGTGAAGCTGCCTAATTGGTGTTGACAATAGCCGTTATATTTGGCGGGAGGATTTTAATTTGCGGCTCTGGTTTTTTAGATGAGATGCGTTGGTGGTGGAGTCTACGTTGGTCTCTTTTTTGGTTGGTGGGAGAAGTCTTGTAGGTCTTTTTTTTGTTCGTTTTTGGTTCATTAGTGAAATTTATGCACGTTTTTTTTTTTTTTTTTTTTTTTTTTTTTTTTTTTCTTTTTTGCGCGCAGTTTAAAAGGGGGAAAGCTTGGGGCAGGTGGAATGGGGAAAGCATGCGTATTTGGCACTAATATTTATTTTGTTGGGATAATTAATGATATCATTGAATTATTATATTTTATAATCTAGTTGTCTTTAAAAAAAGTTTGTTATAAATTTGTACTTATTATGATTAATTTATTAGGAATAATATATATTTTTTAAAAGGAATGACCAAACGTTATTATATGAGTTCCAACCACCCCTAATGTGCTTAACAAATCGAGTACCCCTGCCCTGAGGGCTTTTATATCGTGGATGCCAAACAACAGGTCGGGGTACCCAACACACACACACACACACACACACCCTTATGTGTCTAACTATTCGATGACCGCCCTCATTACCAACAAACTGGCTAGTAGGGGATTAGAATCTGCGACCTGAGGGGACTTACGACCTACAAAAAGGTTGCTTTACCAACAGGTCATGATTGGCGACACTATATATATATATATGGAAGCTTTGGCAATTTTATTGCTCACATTTGAAAATTACAAAATTTAGGAGGAGCCCACTAAAAAAAATCCAAAAAATACATATAACTCACCTCTAGGATCCCTACAACCTAGTATACAACTCATGCAAAGAAAATCTCCAAAAAGATTACAAGTATACCCAAAAAAGAGAAAATCTCCAAAACTTGTACCTAATCGAGCTGCAGCTTGTCCCAACCAACTTCAAAAGTAGACCTGGCAAAAGAGTATGAATACAACAAAAAAGAGATGACATACTAATCAAATAACAATCATCATAATCAGAGAAAGCAACCTTCATTGAAGCATGATATAGAGTGAGTCTAAATGAATGATTTGTAATTTGGGAAGAGCATATAATACTGACAGAAAGATTTGAAAAAACCACCACTTTCAGGCATATGTGAGTTTTCTGCACAACGAAATTAGAATTCCAAAAGAAGAAAAAATTATATGAAGTAGAGTCCTTCCCTTATTAGGCAGAAATGAAGAATTAACCTCAGGCTACTTGTTACACCACATAACTTTGCTTAAGTTATAACAACTTCCCTTAAAGTTAGAGATCTTATGGCGGCTTGGATGGATTGATCGATCCATAGTCTATGTAGGTATCATCAAAGTTGATTAGGGAGAGAGCTTGGAGGAACTGGAGAGGAGGGGAGCTCGTTGTGAGTTTGTCTTTCTTTAGCAATGAATTTAAGATAGCTAACACTGAGAAGACTTTTTATATCCTAGGCAAAGCTGAGTTTCTTTCAGCCATTAGCAGCCCAAGTAGGTCAATGAAGCACCAACATGCTGTAATGAGTGGCCATTATGGATTTGAGGGCCCTTGAAGGTTTGAATCTATCCCAGAGGTTTGGAGACAAGTTAAGCTTTAGTAGAACCTTTCTTTCAATGATAAATTAACAAATTGAATGATCTATCAAGGTTGCAGGCACTTAATTTTGGAGAGAATGAAGAGGATCATATATCTTTTATTGGGTTTGCCTATAATAATAAATTTCAGCGAAGTACTAATATCAATTTGTTAGAGGCATTATATAATATGAGGCCTAGAGACCATTTATCTTGGATAGAGGTGGGTGAAAGAAAATTGATGAGTTTGAAGTTAGTAGATATTGCCACTAAAAAGATTAGACTAATCCAAGATAAAATGTAAGCACTCACCAAAAATTAGGTACAGAATGCATCATGATCCCAAGTATCAATGAGTTAAATTTCAAGTGGGTGATTTTGCATTTTTTAAAGCCATTCCTATGACTATTATGAGTAAATTAATAGAGGATGTAAATTGAGCCTGAAATTTATTGGGTCTTCTAAAGTTATTAGTAAAGTTGGCAAATATGAGCATAAGTTAATGTTCTCCGATCACATATAAGATATGCATAATATCATTAATGTATTTATAATAAGGAAGTGAGTTATTTATATTAAGCATAAAATTCTTGAGAATAATGTTTGAGATACAATCTAATTTGAGCTCTAAAGATGAACTTGAGCATATTTTTGCCTATGATGGGCGAAACTGAAAAGCAATATATTGATATATGGTTCAATTTTAGTAAAATCACATGTTAGAAAGAGAATTCATAGAGAAAAAAAATGTTGATGTAGGATAGTTATGTCTCTATTTATTTAATAGCTAATTATGAATGATGAGGATGGAATTTTTCTAAGTAAGGAAAAATGTCACAACTCCTCGTATAATACTGAGGTGCACTTATGACACGAATTTATTTGAGGTCTAGTGAAACTTATATGTTATAGTATGCTTATTAATTTTTAATCAGTTTTTATAGTTAATTTTTTACTTGATTTATTTGATTTTAATTTAAAGTTAATTTCAACTTATTAAAATTTACCTCATTTTATTTGATTAATTTGTCTAGATTAATTTTATGTTTGATTCATAAATCATTTTCATTTTATTATAATACATTTTTAAGTATTTTTTAAATATATTTTTATCTACTTTTTTATCTAACTTACTCTAGTTGATTCTGGAGCTCTGAACTTGATGTTTTGGAGAGTGTTTATGGCTGGTGGTTGAAGTCATGGTTATCCCCTTAGGCTTGTTTCCTTAGCTCTCATTTCAAAGATGTTTGCCATGGAAACTCCCTTTCTACTCAAAATTGGTTGCTTATTTGGTTGTTTTGCATTGGAAGCCTTTTATCTATCTTTGTTTATATTAATGATGGAAACAATTTGGTGTTAGTTATTATTGAAGAGATTTCTTACACTTTAGTATTGCCAATTTCAGTTTGAAGATATTTGGTGTTGGTTGGTGTTTTGTAGCGTTTGTTTCTAAAATATTTATGTTATTTTCTGTATTTAATTATTTTTCTTTCTCAATTGTAAATTTATATTTCTTTGGGTTTGTAGTTTTTCTATTTTTTAGTCAATTTGTAATTTTATTTTTCCTTAATAAAGTTGAGTGTGACCCTCATGTTTCCCGAAAAAAGAAAAAAGAAACAACTCATTTAGGAAGAAAGGACATGATTCACGAGACAAGAGGAACAATGACAAAAGGATTTAATTGATTTTTTTTTTAAAATAATAATAATAATAATATTATTATTATTATAATAATCATCATCAATATTATTATTGTTAATGTTATTATTACTATCATTAAAAATAAATTGCATGAATTCCTTCATTTTTTGCACATATTCTCGATTTTTTTGCATCTCAAACTCCATGTCATTGCCTCAATAATTTCAAGTTTTGCTTTCATGTGAAGAATGAACAATACAAGTGTTCTTACTAGATAGACACTCCCCATGAAAAAACCTAATTTTTTTCAGAATGAGCACCATTTTAATAATTTTAATGACGATTTAGGTGCTTTGATTTTAACTTTTGTGATGTTATTTTTCGATCTTGTTATGATATGTTGAATCAATTAATAGAGACCTAATTTGATATTTTTTATAATCTTGATGCATTAAAAAATTTTATTTTACCAACACTTCAATTGATTTTGAGTTACTATTATTATATTTTTTTATACTAACTTTTTCACCAAAGGAACAAAGGAAGAAGATAGCTTTAAGTATGATTTTGAACTTTCTCTAACGCTTGCTCTGATATCATGTTAAAAAATTAGACATGTAATTACATTTTTTGAATTGAATATTAGTTAATATATATAAACAATAGAAAAAAATAATAATAAAATACAATGAATTCAAATATCTTTAATAATGAGAGTATATTATATTAATAATGATTATAAATTCTCACAATAAACAATTTACATTCAATATCTATAAGATATTGAATAATTCTAATAATTATGGCTATCAAAACATTAAATATTTTATAAAATAAAGAAAATGAAAGTATTAAAAATAAAAGCTCTAAGGTTAAAGGCACAGATTCATATTTTTAAATGAGCATTGTCACATTTTAAAGTCAAGTGCATGCAACCACTTAACATCAAAATAGTGATAAGTTGAGTTCACATAAATCTCATCTACCATCTGTGCGTATAAAGCTGCTTCCAGGTGACTTTATCAATCTCTTCTGTTTCATCAGTTCCCTCACCTTCAGTGCCTCATCCCACCTTTGATCAGATGCATACAAATTTGACAACAAAACATAATAATCTGGGCTATTAGGCGTCATCTCCATTATTTTTCTTAGTGCCTTTTCACCAAGATCCAATCTCGAGTGCAGACTACAGCCATGAAGCAAAACTGCCCACACACTAATCTCAGCATTCACAGGCATCCCCTCCATGAACTCTACTGCTTCCTCAAGCTTCCCAGCTCTCACTAACATATCAACCATGCAACAATAGTGCTTCATGGATGGAACTACTTCATACTGTTTACACATCCTCTCAAAAAGCTCCTTACCTTCCTTAACCATTCCGGTGTGACCACAGGTTGATAGAATGCTCATAAAGGTAACTTCATTGGGCTTTAGATCTTCCCACAACATTTTTTGGAAAAGATCAAGAGAAGTAACAGAATCACCCTGCAAACCATATCCACCCATCATTGCACACCATGTGACAACATTCTTATTGCACATCTCATCAAATACTTGGCGAGCCGATGTTAGATCCCCACATTTGTTGTAGAAATTCAGTAAAGCGGTACTAACATAAATATTTGAAAGAAAGGCAGCTCTAACAGCATAAGCATGAAATGAACCTCCAATATACAGTGAACAAATAGAAGCACAAGTTGAGAAAGCATTCACTATTGTGACAGCATCAGGTAAATAACCTTCAAACCTCATTTTGTGAAAGAGTAACAAAGCCTCGGATCCAAAATTATTTTGAGAATAACCTGCCATCATTGCATTCCAAGTGACTAAATCCTTCCAATCCATCCTTTGAAAAATATTCTCAGCTTCCTTAATAGAACCACACTTTGCATACATATCAACAATTGCATTCATTACAACATTGTAATCTTCTACTCCTAGCTTTATCCCAAGCATATGAATTGACCTGCCTAGATTCAAATTGGATAATTGGGCTGAAGCTGAGAGAGCGCTGGCAATGGTGATGGAGTTAGGGATTATGTCTGCCCAGTTAGGGTTGGAGAAGAGCTTCAAAGCTTCAACAGCGTAGCCGTTCTGCGTGTAGCCGACGACCATAGCAGTCCATGTGATGAGGTCAATATAATCCAGGTCGTTGAAGATGGAATAAGCATCAGTAACTTCCCCACACTTGACATACATATCCAATAATGCAGATCCAATGAAGATATTCATAGCCATCCCTTTCTTCAAGACATAGCCTTGAATCCATCTTCCTTGAACTAAAGCTTCTAATGATGAACATGCTGATAGTATAGTGCCCATAGTGTACTCACTAGGCTCCACACCTGCTAATCTCATGCTGTTAAACAAAATCAATCCATCTTCGGCACGATCATGTTGAACCAAACCAGACATGATTGTGGTCCAAGTTACCACATTTTTCTCTAAAATTGTATCAAACAAGGTAGATGCTGAATTCAAATCTCCACATTTTGCATACATGTCAATGAGTGTGTTTAGAAGAAAATCATCTGGGTTCCCAACCTTAGCTATATGGCAATGAATCTTCTTTCCCTCGTTAAGATCAAACAATTTAACGCAGGCATTCAAGACCAGCGAGAACAAGACATTGTCCTGCACTAGAAGGAACTCTCTATAACAGCCGTAAAGCTTGATCGCGTCCAAATAGCAGTCATTCATGAGATAGGACTTCATCATTGCTTTACATGAGTAAAGATCCGGGTCAGTAATTCTGTCGAACAACATGCGTGCGCACTTTGTGTTTCCCAAAGCAGCATAGGAAACGAGCAGCTTTGTCTGTAAAGAGAGGTTTGTGGACAGCCCATTGATGATGAGCAAGGTGTGCGATTTACGGAGAGAGAACAAGTTGGTACAAGAATCAAACAACGAAAGAATCTTGCGTGAGAGAGTTCTGCTGTAGTCCGTAGAGCAAGTACGGAGATTTAATGGAGGCGGGAGGAAGGATCCCGTATTCTGGTGATTGATGCCGGACAGACAGCCCAAAGCGTCAGATTTCGCTGAAGGAATCGAAAGAAATCGTCTTTGAAGCGCTGGTAAGAAGCTCGCCATCCTCCTTCCATGGCTGCCGCCGCTTTGGCTTGCAGGTAGGAGAGGCCCGGGCACTTTAGAAATTGGGGGATTTTTATTCAGATTTTCTTTTCGTTAGAAACTCCTTAAAAAAATATATGTTTGTAATTATGAAAATTTAGTTATTAAATCTATATGTATATGAAAAATTAGGTAAAATTCCCTCAAATAAATTATGATATAAAATTATACTTATTACAATTAAAAATTGTATCAATAAATAATTTTTACATAAAATCCGACGTAGTTTTTCAGCAGAAAATACTAAAATGAACATCCTTTCACTGAAAAAATATTGTGTCTGGAGTCTGATCGCAAAGTTACGTCCGGACAATAGATGTGATATACCGGACGGAGCAGAGATGAAAAAAATCACCCCAAATGTATCACATCTATTATTCAGACGTAGTTTTCATCCAGACTCTAGACGTAATAAATTTTACTTCTCATCGTCCCCCCCCTCCCC